TTTTAAATGTAATCGTAACACACACATATTCTAGATAAGTGGCCAAAATGTGGTTTCATTATTAATATCCAGGTACGCGGAATAATAAACTTGCACTAATTAACGTATCAGATAATTATATCACCACATTATCGTTGACAGTAGGAGGTGAACAGTAGGAGGCAATGAATGGCTGGAAGCAAATCTGTAAGGGCTACGGATTCCGTTAAATGGACAGAAATATTTCTTTTGCCGTGATTTAAGGATTAAAAGATAATTAGTCGTAAAATTAACCGAATCGCCCGTAGAGACATTTCACGGCGCGGAGGGTCTACGCGTCCTCCGCAGCGGCGATGAAAGATACTGTAATTATTAAATCAAAAACCTCTGGGTCGTAGAAGGAGAGAAAAAGGAAAACAAAGAAGACAAATACAGGCAAAAAAACGTGAGCTTATTAGCGTCTTAAAGTGACTTTACAAAAAACAACCCTTTGAGGTCATTCTAAAGGCAGATATTTCGAGCAGAATAATCAAATAGCAGCGTGTTATTCTCTTAATTAAAATTGTGCACAAAAAAGCCCTTGCTGGCAATTAAAAATTCCTTACAGCTAAAAGGATTACGCCGTGCCTGCTGCGCTCAACCTGATCATAGCGGCTTCGGTTAAACCCGCAGCCCGTAATGCGAGTCGGCGGGTCGCTGAGCCGGACGGGTGAGTCAAACCCGAATCCTGGAGGTGAGGCAAACTACCTACTAAACCAGTGTGGGTATTTGGCTATGGAGGTATCATGGGGGGATGCTAATTCTGGGTCATATGGGCAATTAATTTGCATTGCTGCTGAGCTGTTAATTAGCCTCGATCAAGCTGCTGACTCAGTTGACAGATTCAAGCCAGATAAACGCCAGAACATCGCATAATGATTCTGTCAATTACTGCTTCAGACTTAAGATCTACGAATACACTGTAATGGTATAAACATTAAAGATCTTTCTGTGAATCTACATTTTTACCTTTATGAATAATAAAACTGCATTTCAATAATGAATGATTAAAAAAATCACTCGGAAACCATAAGTCAATTCGAAACAAAAATGTATCAGGGTTTGTTTTGATTTCAGAAAGAGACCTCGGGTAATATATAATGTAATTAGGACAAATGCAAGTGTGACAGTATTTTTGCACTTATTTTAAAGTTCAAACTGATTTTTCAATGAACACAAAGTAGGTACAGTACTGTGTTAAAATCTTAGACGGTCAAAGGAAATTATTTTTAAAAGATCTTCATATAATATCAAATTAGGATGTTGACTGTCAACACCTGGCAGTTTAGCCATTTCAAAACCTCTCCTGAAATCACCCCATTATTTGCAACAATTGCCCAACACACTAATTTGTATTTGTTGAATGAGCCACTGGTCATGCTGCCTCCACCTTATCTGGCTAATCAACACCTCACTGATTTAACTAATTAAGTTAATTCATTAATTGAGCTGGGGGTGAAAACGAACAAATACACAGAATGGCTGAGGTTTGGGGACCAAAGTGGTGTTCATCTAGCCAACCAGTAAAATAACGGCAAATATTTGAAGAACATAGATTCTTGTTTGTTTTTTTATTGTGTTACTCTTCATTTGCATATGTTCTGTTATTAAATTGTTTGTGTCAGAGCAAATATACACTTACTACAGAGATAAACTGCCTTCAGCATTTTTTTGACTAAAAAAAGACTTTTGCACAGGCCTGTATAATCAGGCTGAAGAATGATAAAGTGACGAGGTTTGCTTAAGTTTTACTCATCATTTCATCCATCTTTCTATCCATCCGTCTGTCCATCTTCTATCCCCACTTGTCCTATGTAGGGTCCTGAGGGTCCACAGATGCCTGTGTGTGAGTGTGTGTGTGTGTGTGTGTGTACATAAAACAATCACATGCACTGAAGCAAAAAAAATCACTAACATGTGACAGTGAGCTTGTTGCTCTTGTCGAACTTTGCCCTTAAATAAACAAACAGAAAATCCAGAAAGTGCAGAGCCGCTCTGGTCTGTAACGTGGCCCGTGTAATAAGACCCGGACCCGATATCTACTCCAGTGACTGGGTGTCCGCAGACTGAGAGCTCAGGCATGTTTCGCCAGATGATTTTTCTGTTTATATTTTTGCTTATACATTTTTCATGCAACAGATTTCTGCCCTGGAGGTCTCATTATAACCCGTGTTGCAGTGAGGTCTCACTGCCCCTTTTGTTTTCATGTGTTCTCAATCCACTCTATATATATGGCATTTACACTGCGCACAGAAGAGGGCGCCACTGGAACAGAAGGTAGCTTGGTGATTAAAGGTGTCGTCTTGTGACAGTCACAGAATAACTGTGGGTGTGTGTAGTGTCCGGTGTGGACTGGATGCTCACTTGTGCTTCATGATCTTGTTACTTTCTTTACTGAACAAATTCCCCAATTTCACAACCTTCTACCAGTTCTGCAAGACCATGGGATATTATATGTGGTTTTTAATTAATTGATTCCTGTGTTACGTTTCTCCCAGCATGCCGATCGCACCCCAGAACTTCCACAACCCTGCCCATGAAGGACATCCCAGCTTTCCTGAGCAATCTAGCTCACAGGCCATAGTGTTTGACTGCACATCAACGTCAAAGTAAAACTGAACTCAGCATTACAGCTCACGTGATCTACAGGAACGTTCTGATGGTCCTCTCTACGTGATCGAAGGTGCCGAAGACCAAACTAACCTGCAAACGCAGCAGACACAGAAAGCCCACCTCGTCCAGTCACCCCCGGTGCTTCTCAATAATTCAGAAGAGCTCTTGTTCTTGCAGTTCAAGAGTTGAAGGTTCCTCACATAGACATGTGCAGTATGAAGCAATGCTTACCCCGTGTTCAATTTTACAACATGGGGGGGGGGGGGGGGGGGGGGCGACCACAAGCCTCCTTTTGCTACAGGAGTGGTTCTCAATCCTGCTTCTGCCCCCCCTCCCCAGAATGTTTTCATTCCAACTCACACTGCTTTCCATGTACCACATTCATTATTAGCCTATTAATGTCCATGTGATTAAGGTAGGGTTGGAATGAAACCTCCTTTTGCTACAGGGGGGGGGGGGATGAGAGCCAAGGAGAACTCCACTTGCACTTGGATAACATAAAGGGATACTCCAGGACATTTTACACCTCATAAAAGGCTATTTATTGCCCATTTTCTTCCCCTCAGTTCCAGGAACTCAACTGCCCCCTTCTCTTGTGTACCTTCCAAATAATGCATCTTATTGGCATGAGATCAACTTTCAGTGTATTAGATCAAGAAAAAGGATCAATGGCTTCTGCATGGCAAGTTATTCAACCATCCTTCCAGCTGGACCAGTTTGTACACCCCCTTCATTAATGGAAATATTGATCCAAAATACCCTCTAAAATGTCAGCGGTAGAGTTAATTGGATCACCGTTAAAGAGCACCAGCCCCAGGACGTTCTATCTAAAAGGTCTACACTGTCAGTCTAGCAAAGTATCCAAAAAAAATTCCAGATGGGTTCATACTTTTCTTCCCCTTGTTCTGTAGATGTTCACCAATGTGTTGGCCAGGCATCACTAATTGTCACCATCAAATCACCAGCAAATAATTGCATTCCACCTAAATTTGAGTGCTCTGGCTCAGGCTTTGAGTCTGGAAGATTATTAGACCTTGAGAGATAGGGTATGTGAAGATTGATGCTCTACATCGAGGTCTCAAGGAGGCATCCTGGGTGTCAAGGCTGGGGTGGAAACATCTCAGTGATCACCGCATTGGAAAACCACACTTTGTAACCGCACTTTGTTCCTGTGTTCATTGAGGCTTCAAATTAAAGTCACGTCAAGATGAAAGTGAAACCTATCCACAGCCATTCATCTTTTCTTTTCCCTGCGTTTGTTTGCTGACATATCCCGGCCATCCATGCGGAGACAGGAACTCGAGCCTACGAAGGCGTTCAAGCCCCTGCGATAAATTGGAAAAACTGGGATGATGCGTTTCATGGTTTTTCACCCACATGGGTCAGTGTTTTTGACAAAAGGAAATGCGGTCAGTTTGGCAGAAGGTGCCTGAAAGCCCAGGAGCTTGTGCACGCTGAGGAACAGAAGGAGCAGCACTGAGCTAGCGGTGCCGTAACCATCAAAATGGCGACTCTTGACAAGGTAAATGCTACCATCAGTTTGGTGCCAATTAGCGGTAAATGAATCCTGCCTAGGTGTCAACATCTTTGAAAATGGAGCCTGACAAGCGGCTGGTCATCTGAGGATAGAACGCTTAAGAACTTTAAACGTTAAACAGTAGTGATGTTGAGCTATGAGGGGTCAAGAGACTTCTGGAAAAAAATCTGCCAGTGGCCAAGCGGTACAGAGGCCTCTTTAAACACAAGGTAGGCCTCCTCCCGTGCAGGTCTCTGCATCTACTGACTGATCTTGAGAACTATAATTGGGGTTGAAGTCGACTCCTACAAACTGAGAGAGGGCCTTAAGGCCTTAGGTGGAAACTTGGAGGAAACATAGTTAAATGGAATTTGACATAATCTCACCAGACTTTCTGAAGAAACACATTACTGCAGGGAATATACAAGTATTTCATTTTCTTAAGCTCTCTGTCAGAATGACGAATAAATTGAGATCTTAAACAGGATATGTCTTTACAACACACCATACCTAGTAGAGTACTGAAATCAGGTTTCAGTATTTACCCATACAGAAAATTTGATCAGAATCCTAAGTTGGACCTGGATGGAACCTAATTTCTTTTCAAGTAGAATAGAAAGTCAAAACAGTGCAAATCTGAATTGGGCTGTATATCTTCACGCAAAGCGATAATGAAATTCAGTTACGCGGGGCCTTGTTATCTCTCTAAATGTCTCCGGGACGAGCAGAGGCAACAAATAAAATCTGACAGCTGGATATGTATTGGTGTGTGGAGATAAAATTAAAGATAACAGAATCACAAACAGAGTTGCGGGAAGCCCCATCGGTGATCATCATTCTCTGTTTACTTTGGTCAGCATTGTGAGCAAACAGAACGTTGTTTCGTATGAAAATTGCATGCTGGGAAAGTACCCATTCATTTTCTATAATGACCTGTCCGTTTACCCTATAACTAGAATCTATGCACCCTTTGTCATATTTTAGATTGTCATTTTTTTACAACAACCTAATTAGGTTCATTCTCCTACCATAACAATGTATTACATTCCAAAAATTGTTGCCCCAGAGTCCTTTACAGTACATACTAACACTTAAGGAGATATTACTTCAATGGACTACAGAAGCTTGTTTTGTAGGGTAATGTACTGAATTTACTGATGAGACCAAGGATGATCAACCAGCACAGGAGCTCGGTGGGCAGCACTATGGTCTCTCACCTCCAGGGCTGTGGGGGTCGATTCCGGCCGCGGCCGTGTGTGGAACACGCCATGTTCTCCTGCAGTCCAAACACGTGTGGTTAGATTAAGGGTCACACAAAGACGTGGCTGGGCCTGATGAATTCTACTAAATGCTGGCACCCTTCTCCAAACCAAAACCACCATTATCCACATTCGCACACTCATGGGCGCCCCCTACTGTCTGGGCCCCTGAAAATGTTCACCCATTTCCCCCCTTAGGGACAGCCCTGCTTAGGTAAATTGGTGTCCTTAATCTCCATATAGAGTGTTCATGTTGCTGGAACGGCAACATCTCTCCCTTGTATCCTATGCTGCCCCCGATAGACTCCCGGCTCAACGTGGCACCTCCCCCCCCCCATCAGAAATGTTCATTTAGGCACCTTAACTTGTTTCTCGAACCAAGGCAGAGAGTCTTCAGCCATCTTCAGCCCATGCAGCACGCCAAAACCTGCGGCAAATTGGGAAGTCTGCACTCGTGCCATTTTTCCTCATTTAGCTCCCCTCCAGCCCTGAACCTGACTGAGGGTCCCCCCCCCGACCTGAGGAGGAATGTTTTCCACCCAGGCCCAGGTCCAGCCCAGCCGGGGCTGTGACCTCACGTACACCCGGGAAGCCATTCGCGGAGAGTTTCAGCAGAGCGCCGGGCTGTGGCCTCTCCCAGCCCCCGTCCGCCACAGCGCCCCCCGGTGCTGCCCTTCCAGTACTGCAGGCACTTGCTTCGCGTCCGGCCAACTGCAGCCCGCACTGGGGGTAAACTCAACCAGGAACTCATTATAGCAGAGGATTAGATCCATCAACCAGAGGAGAAGCCTGCAGGCATGGAGGCCAGCAAGCTGAACTAATAAAGCCGACCCCCCCCCCCACCACCTATCTGAGTGCTCCCTCTGCAATATAGGTGAGGTGAAAGGAAAAAAGCAAGAAACAGTTCAAGGGAAAACTAAACGATGCTGTTAAAAAAATGAGAGAAATGAACAGATTTCATTAGAACACGGCAGTAATTCAGTAAATGTACTGCTATTATTAGAGGGGTGTTCCGCAGTTTCAGTGACTGATATGCGCAGCGGCATCATTCAATTCATAATATCCAAGTCCGAATGTGTTTTCAGGAAGCAAATCAAGCTTTGTCCAGAAACTCATTCTGTTTATGTTGCTGAGTTAACAGGGAACACACACACACACACAATTATAAACAAAAGACGAGACTTTTGGCATTTTTAGACTTCTGTTGAGAACCGGAAAAATGGACCCACAATGTAATATAAACATAATCCACACACACACACACACACACACACACACACACACACACACACACACACACACACACACACAGTCCCAGTCAGTGCTGTTCCCCTCATTTCATAGAAAGAACTGGACTAAAGACTCTAAAGAACTTCTGCAAGGTTTCATATATGATGAACCACCTAGAGACAACAGTTGTCTTGGCAACATACCAATGATGTAAAGTAGCCAGGAGTTTGGGTACCAGATGGAAGACGGTGTCCAAGGAACAAGATTTCGTCTGCTAAGCACCTGCAGGATGCCACACTATCACAGCCAGAAGGCATCTTAGATGCCCAGGGAATTCATTTAGCAGAAGAAGAGAAGAACTTCTTATGCACATATTTAAATTAATTTAAATGACATGTTTGAAAGTTCAGTCAATGGTCAAAACATATGTCTCCATCTGTTGGTGAAGAACGGGTATTGCAAGTCATCCTCAGGACATCATTCCGATAACAAATAACCGAGGACGGGGGCCGCTGTAGTTTGCAGGTTCATATTTTTCGCCTTGTTTTAGCACCCCCTACCGATGACACTGATATGACGCCATACATGTCAGTCTATGTTAAGCAACAAGTTTAATGAATAATTAAACAAATAATAAATAATAAAAAAAAAAAAAAAAACAATCAAGTTAGATCACGGGGGTGATGTTTCAGGATAATTCAGGAAACTAAAAACTAAAGGATTATGGCCACTCATCTCTCAGAGATGCTCTCACACACTCACACTCACACACACACACACACACACACACACACACACACACACGAAAGCAGGAGATTGGGGGTCAGATGAGCTTTAATTGTTGAAGATAACTATGGGGACCCGCAGAAAGGAGCGTTTCTGCCCAGAAATGAAGAATCGATGACTGTCTGCTTCCCAGAATCCCTTGGGCTGCCGCAGTCACTTGTGCGAGCGGACCCGCCCTTGGAGGAAGACGGCCCCCATCCCCGTGGTGGACCCGCCCTCGGAGGAAGACGGCCATCATCCCCGTGGTGGACCCGCCCTCGGAGGAAGACGGCCCCCATCCCCGTGGTGGACCGGCCCTCGGAGGAAGACGGCCCCCATCCCCGTGGTGGACCGGCCCTCAGAGGAAAACAGCCCCCATCCCCGTGGTGGGGTCTCAAGGCGCGAACAGCAAAGACACCTGTTGCTTAAAGACTGATTTACACCAGAAACCGTGGGTAAGATGATGAAATATCTTGGTAATGAGGCTGGTCGCAGCAACAAGTGCCGAAATAAAATGGCATCCAGCCAGAGCGCAAGATTTTCCAGCCGTCGCTTCATCACGCATAGAAATGTAATCTCTTACATTTCTTAATATCATGTAAAATGAGTGCAACTGGAAAAAAAAAAACACACTATAGACAGAGGATTTATTCTTTATAACAGACTCACTGTTCGCAGATACATTTGCCTTTAGCTATAATCCACTCCCCTGCCGTTGCCCTGGATACCGTCATAAAAAGATGAAAGTGGTCAAAAGACAGGCGATGTGTTAATGGGGGGTTTCGTTGGGCCTCCTGCTCTTCCTGTTCCACAGCTCTCATCCTCACCCCCCCC